TCTCCTTCTCCTTCTCCCCCTCCTCCTCTCCTCCTCCTCCTCCTCCTCCTCCTCCTCCTCCTCCTCCTCCCTCTCCTTCCCTTCCCTTCTCCTCCTCCTCCCCCTCCTCCTCCTCCTCCCCCCTCCTCCTCCTCCTCCTCCTCCTCCTCCTGTCTTGTGTGCGAGTGTGTGGCTTATAATTGTTTTGAGTCAGAAGTCGGCAGCTGTCAAAGTGACATATTGTCTCATTAGTCACTACCCCTACCGCCTGTCAAAACAATGGGGTCGGATGCTGCTTTCCCTCCTCCATTCTATCTAATTATCTTTCTCCCTCATTCTATATCTTCAATCTGTCTCTCTTTCTATCTGTCTGCCTATCTCTGTCTCCAAGGTACACATAAATACAAGTATACATAGTGTAAATTACCTAGGATAACCCAAGAAATCCAGACAAAGTGCTATACTCTGCTTGAAGATGTGAGTAAACGTGATGACTACAGTCTTGTGGCTCTCTCTGAGACAGAGAGCTAGATGGACAGACAGGGAGCTTGACAGACAGACAAATAGACAGACAGAAATGTTTGTGTACCAGCAAAAACAAGGGAGGGGGATGGTCATGTAATATTACCCCCTTTACGCTCATCAAAGTCGCTCTTATCAGATGTTATCTCCCCTTATCTTGTCACTGTCGGGGGGTGGATTTTTTTTTTTCTTGTTTCAAGGGAACAATATATTTACATCTTCTTCTTCCTCCCCCTCCTCCTCTTCTTCTCCTCCTCCTCCTCCCCTCCCCTTTCTCCTCCTCCCCTCCCTCCTCCTCCCTCCTCCTCCTCCCCTCCTCCTCCTTTTCCTTTCCCCTCCTCCTCCTCCTCCTCCTCCCCCTTTTCCCTCCCCTCCTCCCCCCCCTCCTCCTCATTGCTTTTGGTTCAACTCCTCCAAATCATGAAATTGATCTTCACTGACACTTCCATCTGTGTTGAGCATCCTGGGAAAAAAAGAGTCCCAGATTTGGGGGGGAATACAAATTTCTTCCCGCTAGACTGCTGAAAAATACAATGAAATGGCATTCCACAATGCACCACGGCTCCCCGTTTTTTTTTTTTATGGTGCACATGACCATGGAGCCCTTTCTCTCCAGTGGGCCTACCGCTTTCTCCTTTGATTTGAAGCTGCTAGAATTTATGCGTTAAAAATTCGTCAGAAACATTGGCTGAAGAGTATTTTTTTTTTTCGTCGGAAAAACAGTAAAAGGGTTTAAAACCCAAAACAGGGGTTGGAGTTTTTTTTTTTCTAATATGCCTGTGTGCTGCAGGATTTTTTTATATGTGAACACTGACCCAAGACCCATTCTTTCATATTATCCCTCCCACTTTCTCTCGCTAGATTTGAAGGCAGTAAAATTTCGGTATAGTAGGGGACCCCCCGGCGTGCGGCCGTACTAGTACGGCCCCAACCCTGAAAGGGTTAAATAAGAACTTTGGGAGAGAGGACTCAGCCAAAGGAAAAGACTTAAAAAAATTTTTTTTAGCACTCCAGCCATCTTCCACCAAGGTAGGGTGACTGACAAAAAGAAAACCCCTTTCACGCACTTTTTCATCATTGTTTTGCCAGAAGGGCACGACATCACATTTTCAGATGCCCCTCCACACTGCAAAATCCACACCCCTCCTTCAGAGTGCAGACACTGTACCTCCCCCCCCCACTAACCACTGCCCCTGAAGCCTTTCATAAATCAAACCTTGCTCACACTCCGCATCCTTCGATTATAAAAATGTTGCCCCCACTTCTTTCTAACATGCTCACACAAGCCTGTTTCAATGCCCAAGCCCTGCACTCAAAACCACCTTACCTGTTCCCCTGAAAAACCTTGCTAGGATGACCTTATCCTTCCCTCCCCCCCCCGATTTATACCTTCCTATTATCCTATTTTTTCCTTCCTTTCAAAAAAATATCAAACCACCTCAAAACCCTCTCCTAGCTCTCCAAATAAATTTTTGGGGAAACCCACTCCTCGATTTTTTGTATAAATTCACACCACAATTGCTTTCTTTGTTAACCCTTCAGGGCCCAAGGGGCCAAAAACGAAGCACGCCCAGTGCCCAAGAAATTTTGAAAAAAAAAAAAAAATTTTTTTTACGAATTAAAGAGCATATTTTTGTAAAGGGTAATAAAAAAAAAAAAAATTAGAATCGATCAGTACTTAGGATACAGTGCCAAGAAGTTTAAAAAAAATTGATGTGGGGGGGGCGGAAACATCGACGAATTCCACATCCGTATTAATTTTTTTGTTTTTTTTTTGTTTTTTCTTTTCTTTTCCAATTTTTTTCTTTTCCTACTAACTTTTGGGGGCCTGAGAGCCCAATCTGTATTAAGTATATATAAAAATCATGTTTTGAACACAATAACCGCACTAAAGTTATTATCATATTATGTTTCCCACTTTTGTTTATTACAATAAACATGCAAAAATATTGTAAAAAATAAATTTTCTATCATAATTTACATATTTACAACACTGGACGGGTTTTTTAGAACTGCGGAGCTTGGGGAAACCCTTAAAAAAGGCCCATGCACAAGGCACCTTACATTCCCAACAAAAACCCGAGTGTCTTTGCGTCTTTTCCCGTCTTTTGGTTTGTGACAGACGATCATCTCTTTTGACAAATTTCTTTTGAGTTAAAGGGAAGCTGTATTATGAATGATCCCCTTCTTTTCTCAAACGTTTTGGGTATATTTGATAAATTCGGGACCATTTTGTTTTTGAGGTGTTTTGTTACCTTTTACTTTCATTAGGGTTTTGTCTGACAACGCAAACAAATTCCCATACGGTGGTTGTTCCCAGTCTTTTTTTGGGTCATATTAATGCATTCGATTGAAATGTCCTGAGATGGAAAAAAAGGGTTTATGTCCATTTGAAACTCTTCGAACACAGTCAAAAAAACCAATCTGCATGTCAATTGTAAAACCAAGCGCTGTTTTGTGTAAAATCAACACTGTCACTGGTTTTTTCGAATCTTCTTTTGTCACTCGATCATTTTTGCCACGGTCTTGCTTTCTTAGGTGATGGTTGTCAACAATGTGAATCTCGTTGTATGCCCCGTATCCCATATGTCATTGGCAGAAAACACCTGCCTCATCACCACGAAACCTGCGTTAGCCTGGGCATATGTTTACGATTAGAACCACTGTGCCACACCCCATCGTCTTGTTCACTCGCATGAAATCACTGGTAATGGTTGTGTACCAGTTCGGTATATAATGTATGGGCCCTTTCCAAGATAAGGGGCCCTCTGTTTTCACTACGTCACCTGATTACCCAATAACACTTGTATCTTCAAAGTTTTTTCACCCCTGTATACAAAAATATCCAACACCCGGCCACGTCACAATCAAGAGTACAACAATTTTATACCCAAAGGGTTCCCCTTGCTCGGTTTAAACTGCTTGAATGACAGTCTACCCTTTTAACAAAACAAAAATCGCAATTCAAATCTTGAATGGTAAAAGAATCCTGAAAATTTTGTTTTAGAACATGAAAACATTTCTAAACTTGATAACCCGTCATTCTTCAGGCCCGGTTTTTTCAGGAAAGGACAAAGAACAGTAAAAAAACCCGTTTACTGGGGATTTTTCACTGAAGGATGGGGTACAAAATTGCATCTGTGGACCCGTATGCTTTTTTTTTTCTTATAGACGTGAGGGATAAACATTATTTTTGCAAAAGCAAATAAAAATTTCGCAAAATCGTCCTTTCCCCCGTGTAGTCTGACTTGGGTGATAAAATGTATTTGCCATGGTGTACTGAAATACTTATTCTTTCCCTGACAATAATTTCCATCAATGGCTGGGCAAAGAAAATTCAAAGGGGAATTTTCCAGTTCATTTGGGCCGGGTTCCAAGGGGAAAGGGAGTAGAATTCCACTTTGCGAGCTCAAAGTGGTGAGGGCTGGGAACAAAAAATTGGGGTTTTGCTGCAACCCAGAACGGTTTTCTGGGGTACTGGACTCAAGGCTGGGTTTTAGGGGGTTGTGGCGGGCTGGTGGGTGACGCTCCCTTTGTCCTGAATGACGAGTCAGCAGCGTGGGTTCCCGCGTGGCACAGGGGTCACGCAGGGGGTGCACTACCACCACCAGCCCCCCAAAACCCTCCCCGATGTCTGTGGCCATCCATGCCAAGGTAGCCATATCCTCACTATCATCTAAAAGGGGGTAGGGGACGGGGTGTACCCCGGGATGTACTCCCGGGGTGAAATCCGTCCCCGGGGCACAGCATAGGGTACATACCCAGCGCATGCGCGGCGAAATACCCACCTTACGGGGGAATATGTTTCCTCATATCACTATCGAATGATCGTCGAGCGCAATAAAAAAAAACCACGCCAGAACATCGCATTCTGAAGTCAAGGGCCGGCCACGGGAAAATATTGTTTCCTTCTTTAGGAAAACCCGACCCTGATCAGAGTGCCCACCCCAGAGGTAGAAGGTAGGATGCGGGGTTTTCTGCACTATTTTCGTATCCTGGTCATTATTTTCGGGCACTAATTTTCAAAGCCCTAGAATTTTGTCTTCATTTCCCTTCCATCAGTGTCAGAAATCGCAGGAAGGGAAGTCCCCTTTTTTCCCGGGGGGGTGAGAGCTGACTTGCGACGAGCATGGTGACAAGGGTGACTGAGCCCCGTTGCCCAATGCTATGCAGGGCCCAGATTTTTTTTTTTCGGGGGCACACCCCGGGCAGCCCATTCCCTCATATGTAGGCCTATGAGCGCTTTCACGCTAAATTTGACGGCGCTAGAATTTTGGCATAGATCTACGGTTTGGACACTCACCGACCAGCCATAGATCTACGGGACGGACCCTGAAAGGGTTAAGGTTTGAGATGGTGTTCAATAAAAAGTTTCTGTTTTAAATCTGTTGAATTTTTGGCTTGTCAGTCTGCTAAAAATGTGTAAAAGTACTTTAATGTTTGACATGTAGATTTAGTATATCAAGATTTACAAGTGATTAGCATGGTAATCTTTCCAGGTTGATGCTGATGCCAGGCCTACACCAATGGGACCTCCACCAACCCCCTTTTTTCATGTTTGGCAGACACCCCCCGGACTTCAGTCAATCACCCTCCAAGGTTTTTTCTTTTAAAAATTTTTTAAGCAATGTCTTGGGAAAGGGCATCAGCTTTTTTTTCTTTACCACATTTACAAATTTTCTGACCAAGGTAAAAAAACCAGAATAGGAAATAATTCCATCATTCATTCAAAGGCTTCTGCCCGAAATGTGCTGACTATAATTCAGATGACTAGGATTTGTTGTGGCAAATAATTCAAAAAAAAGTCCTTTCAAAGATGTGTAAGGTTTGATTTGGCAATATGTGTTTTTACTTTAATATATTGTATTTTTAAAACATACTGATTTAAACATTTTCTGATGAGGTTGAACCAGCTGTTGTTGGTGCTGCCTTCCACATGACACCACCATCACTTACTGATACGTGCAGTCTGTTATCCATCCCATTTGTAGCCAGATCATCTTCACTTTCACAGTCTGTTCCTGGTGTAGGCCCACAGGATGTACCCTGTCCCCTTGGAATAGCATAGGGCACACTACCACACTGCATGCGGCATGCGAATGTTCTTCATCGCTGTTGCCACTTGAATGGTCATCGTGATTTAGGAAATCAAAATCAACATCACTGTCATCACCATTACTCACATCTGAGGCCTGGCCATGGGAGAATATAAGCTTACTCTTACTGAATGTGAACCAGATGGACCAACCCCGGAGGTGGATGGTTGAGGCTCGTCAGGGTTTTCAGTATTATTTCTGTTATCCTGAGCATTGTTTTTGGTCAGTTAACTGCTCAAAACCATAAAATTCATCTTCACTTCCACCTTTGTCTGGGAAGAGAAGATTCCCAGTTTGATGGGGAGTGATGTTTTGGCTGCTGTGAGGCATGGTGAATAATGGGTACCAAGATGGCATTCCCATAATGCATTGTGGGTGGGTAGTGTATGACAGAATTATGATTGAGAAGGCAGAACTGCTGGAGAAATAAAAACAAAGAAAATTATTATTTTAATTCTTTGTGCAGTATAAAAAATATAGTTTACATTTTTTTTAACATGGTTGTCTCCCACCAAGGCAGGGTGACCCAAAAAGAAAGAAAATCCAAAAAAGGAATATTTTCATCATAAACACTTTCTGTATTTACATGTAATAAAATTTTGTTAATAAGCAAAAAGAAGTCACTAGCCTGCTTTACTTTGGCAACAGATCCTAATGCTTACAGATCTTAAGCTATACAGTAGGGCCCCACTTTTCGGCGGGTTTTTTCAGGTGTTCCCGGGGAAAGCAGCATCGCGGAAGGGCAAAACGCCATTTTTTCCATTTTAAATGCATTATAAGCCAGACAAATTTTTTTTCACTAAAATTTTTAGGTTAAAATAGAACTAGGCATTAAAATCCACAAAGTAAAATACTTACAGTAAATTAATTCTTTCTTAAGGTATTTGAAATTTTAAATTAGGGGGAGAGGGGAGTGTACTTATTTGTGGGAAGTCTGGTGGGGTAGCCCAGGTGTAGGTAGCCCTGGCTCCCCGCTCATATTTAAATAAGATTTTTAAAAACATCCAGAGAGGTAAAATACACATACAGTACACTCTTTATTTCCCTTTAAAAATATTTGTGTTTAATTTAGGAAGAGGGGTGAGTAGATTTATTTGTGGGAAGTCAGTGTATGTGGTAGGTGTACCCCCGTTTTTGGTACACCTCCAGCTATACCTGTGGCCCAGAGATATTATTAACTGACATACCGTTTCACTAAATTTAATCATTTCTACCAACTCGTTTAGATGCCATCTAAACGAAGGTAGAATAAGAATAATTTTTCATCCCAAAAAATTGAAAACAAAAGGGAGTGGGGGAATGCTGAGCCAAACGCAGTTCGTACAGTTTTCTTGATGGTTAGAAGAAAGTGTTTCCCCCACCCCCAATTTTTTAAAACAAAAAAAAAAAACAGAAAGCCGAAAAATTTTTTAAAAAATTTGGTTAGCAATAGAAATAGGAAAAAAAAAAAAAAGGTAAGAACACAAAATAATTATTAACCAAAAAATTAAATTTTTTTTCTTTTTTTGGGGGGGGGGGGTTTTTTTTTGGGGGGGGGGGGGGGGGGGGGTTTTTTTTTTTTGGGGGGGGGGGGGGGGGGTTGGGGGGGGGGGGGGGGGGGGGGGGGGGGGGGGGGGGGGGGGGGGGGGGGGGGAAAAATGAATTTTTTGTTATTTTTTTTTTCACATATTTAAAAGGTTTTAAAACAACCCCAATATTTTTTTTTATTTAATTTTCCCCCAATAAAAAACCAATGTGAAAAAAATTTTCAAAGAGCCCCCAAAAAAAAACAGAAAAAAACCATTTTAAGGAAAAAAGGGTAATTTAAATTTTTTTTTTTTTTTTTTTTTAAAAAGGGCCCCCCCAAGGGGGTGGGAAAAAAAAAAATTTTTTTTTACTATATTTTAAATTTTACAAAAAGTTTAAAATGAAAATTTTCAAACCCCCCCAAATCGGATTACCCCACCCAATAAGTGGTGTTTTAAATTTTTTTTTTTTTTTTTTCACCTCCAACCCGCAGTTTAAAAAAAAACCTTTTTCCCCCATTTAACGGGGGGGGGGGGGGGGGGGGGGGGGGGGGGAGAGGTGGTGGCAGGGTGTTTATTGATAAAATCAAATGGCACACCATCATCCTCTAACTTGGGCATTAAACAAGAGGCTTACGATTTCTTTTTTATCACATTTAACCTTAGACGCCATGTCAATGAGACCAATATTTAACGAAAGAGAAAACGAGAGGGGAACGAGATACGGGTTGAGACAATGTAAAAACACAAAGAAAAGGTTTGGGGGCGATCACTTGGCAGGCGAAAAAAATAAATTTAAATTGTGTCTACTTTTAGTTCTTTCACATAGGTTGAAAAGAGTTTGTAAAACATTTCCCTAATTTTTTTTTTATTTAATAATTACTCACAATCAAAGACTCTTCTTTGTTTTAAAGTTGTACAAGTTAGCCCCCAGAATAAAAAACAGCAAACACCATTTTTAGAGTGAATGAAGATAAAAAATTTTTTTTTATTTTTTTTTTTATTACCCCGGCCGTTCCCAAAAAGGCAGGGGGGCCCCGAAAAAGAAAAATTTTTCACCTCATTCACCCCATCACTGTTTTCCCAAAAGGGTGCTTTACACTACTTTTTTAAACTGCAACATTAACCCCCTCCTTCAAGTGCGGACTGTACTTCCCATCTCCAGGATCAAGCCCGGCCCCGGGGTTTCCCCTGAACCCCTTCTAATGTTATTTGCTCACCCCCAACAGCACGTAAAGTAAAAAAAACCTTTTTGTCTCCTTCACTTATAAAACACGCTCACGCATGCCTGCTGGAAGCCCAACCCCCTGCACAAAAAAAACCCCCTTTCCCCCCTCCCCCCCAACCCTTTCCTGGGGCCGCCCCTACCCCGCCTTCCTTCCACTCAGAGATACACTCTTTAAGTCATTCGTTTCGTCCCTTCTTCTACATGTCCCAAACCCCCTCAAAACCCTTTTCGCCTCTGGACAACGTTTTGGTTTTTTCCCCCCTCCCCTAACTCCAAAAATACGAATTCTCTGCATTATATTACACCCCCATTGCCCCAGACATGACATCCCACTGCCCCCAGCCTTTTCCCGCTGCAACTTCATCACCCCGTTACACCCTATAAAGGGTTTGGGAAAACTATACTTCATACATTTCCCCCCTTTGCCTCAAGGAAAAGTTCTTTTTCCCACGACCCTAATGCACCACTCACTCTTTTTCCCCCCATCAATTCTATGATTACCTCATCTTTATAGACCCATCCGCTGACACGTTCCACCCAATATCGGAATACGTTCACCCCCTCATACTCTCTCCTCCCAAATTTTATTTAATCTTTTACACCTTCTTTTTTTTAAAAAAAGTTGGTAGAATTACCGACAATATGTAAAGTAAAAGGGCACAAGTGCAAAATGTGCATTTTTTGTGGCAAAGTTTCGCTCTCCCGGAGCTTTTTAAGCCATTACAAAAAATGCATGGAACGAGGGTATATAAAGGTCAAAGGGGGAATACTTGAGGGACCATTCCGATTTACATGGTAGTAGTAGTAGTGTAGTGGTAGGACAAAAGCAATTAATTTGTACAGGGGAAAAGGATAAAAAGTATTCTTGGGGAACATAAAAAAAAGGGTTGGAAAATATAAAAAAAAGGAAAGAGGGAGGTTGTT